TGGTTGATCCAGGTGATGGTTGATCCAGGTGAGTGGTTGATCCAGGTGAGTGGTTGATCAGGTGAGTGGTTGATCCAGGTGAGTGGTTGATCCAGGTGAGTGGTTGATCCAGGTGAGTGGTTGATCCAGGTGGAGTGGTTGATCCAGGTGAGTGTGGTTGATCCAGGTGAGTGGTTGATCCAGGTGAGTGGTTGATCCAAGTGAGTGGTTGATCCAAGTGAGTGGTTGATCCAAGTGAGTGGTTGATCCAGGTGAGTGGTTGATCCAGGTGAGTGGTTGATCCAGGTGAGTGGTTGATCCAGGTGAGTGGTTGATCCAGGTGAGTGGTTGATCCAGGTGAGTGGTTGATCCAGGTGAATGGTTGATCCAGGTGAGTGGTTGATCCAGGTGAGTGGTTGATCCAAGTGAGTGGTTGATCCAGGTGAGTGGTTGATCTAGGTGAGTGGTTGATCCAGGTGAGTGGTTGATCCAGGTGAGTGGTTGATCCAGGTGAGTGGTTGATCCAGGTGAGTGGTTGATCCAGGTGAGTGGTTGAGCCAAGTGAGTGGTTGATCCAGGTGAGTGGTTGATCCAAGTGAGTGGTTGATCCAGGTGAGTGGTTGATCCAGGTGAGTGGTTGATCCAGGTGAGTGGTTGATCCAAGTGAGTGGTTGATCCAGGTGAGTGGTTGATCCAGGTGGATATCCTAAAACATGAGTTTGAATTCATAAAGATGCTACTGCATTTCCTCACTGTATATATATATATATATATATATATATATATATATATATATTTATATATAATATATATATATATATATATATATATATATATATATATATTGATAGGCTTGTAAGTGTTAAGAAAAATGCTACGAACATAATTTATGTTGTTATGTAAGCTGCTTCAGTGTTTAATTTTGAGAATAATGCGACGCTTGATGCTTGTGTTGCATCATGTCTCATACCCGTCAGTGAAGAACAACACAGTGTTGCGATATATGACGTGTGAATAGTGAGGTGCTGGTGGATAATACTGAGGTGCTGGTGGATAATAGTGATGTGCTGGGGGATAATAGTGATGTGCTGGGGGATAATAGTGAGGTGCTGGGGGATAATAGTGATGTGCTGGGGGATAATAGTGAGGTGCTGGTGGATAATAGTGATGTGCTGGGGGATAATAGTGATGTGCTGGGGGATAATAGTGATGTGCTGGGGGATAATAGTGAGGTGTTGGTGGATAATAGTGAGGTGCTGGTGGATAATAGTGAGGTGTTGGTGGATAATAGTGAGGTGTTGGTGGATAATAGTGATGTGCTGGGGGATAATAGTGAGGTGTTGGTGGATAATAGTGATGTGCTGGGGGATAATAGTGATGTGCTGGGGGATAATAGTGATGTGCTGGGGGATAATAGTGAGGTGTTGGTGGATAATAGTGAGGTGCTGGTGGATAATAGTGAGGTGTTGGTGGATAATAGTGAGGTGTTGGTGGATAATAGTGATGTGCTGGGGGATAATAGTGAGGTGTTGGTGGATAATAGTGATGTGCTGGGGGATAATAGTGAGGTGTTGGTGGATAATAGTGAGGTGTTGGTGGATAATAGTGAGGTGCTGGTGGATAATAGTGAGGTGTTGGTGGATAATAGTGAGGTGTTGGTGGATAATAGTGAGGTGCTGGGGGATAATAGTGAGGTGCTGGTGGATAATAGTGAGGTGTTGGTGGATAATAGTGAGGTGCTGGTGGATAATAGTGAGGTGCTGGTGGATAATAGTGAGGTGCTGGTGGATAATACTGGGGTGCTGGTGGATAATACTGGGGTGCTGGTGGATAATAGTGAGGTGCTGGTGGATAATAGTGAGGTGTTGGTGGATAATAGTGAGGTGCTGGTGGATATATAGTGAGGTGGTGGTGGATAATAGTGAGGTGCTGGTGGATAATAGTGAGGTGTTGGTGGATAATAGTGAGGTGCTGGTGGATAATAGTGAGGTGTTGGTGGATAATAGTGAGGTGCTGGTGGATAATAGTGAGGTGTTGGTGGATAATAGTGAGGTGCTGGTGGATAATAGTGAGGTGTTGGTGGATAATAGTGAGGTGTTGGTGGATAATAGTGAGGTGCTGGTGGATAATAGTGAGGTTGTTGGTGGATAATAGTGAGGTGCTGGTGGATAATAGTGAGGTGTTGGTGGATAATAGTGAGGTGCTGGTGGATAATAGTGAGGTGCTGGTGGATAATAGTGAGGTGCTGGTGGATAATACTGGGGTGCTGGTGGATAATACTGAGGTGCTGGTGGATAATAGTGAGGTGCTGGTGGATAATACTGGGGTGCTGGTGGATAATACTGGGGTGCTGGTGGATAATACTGGGGTGCTGGTGGATAATACTGGGGTGCTGGTGGATAATAGTGAGGTGCTGGTGGATAATAGTGAGGTGCTGGTGGATAATACTGGGGTGCTGGTGGATAATAGTGAGGTGCTGGTGGATAATACTGGGGTGCTGGTGGATAATACTGGGGTGCTGGTGGATAATAGTGATGTGCTGGTGGATAATACTGGGGTGCTGGTGGATAATACTGGGGTGCTGGTGGATAATACTGGGGTGCTGGTGGATAATACTGGGATGCTGGTGGATAATACTGGGGTGCTGGTGGATAATACTGGGATGCTGGTGGATAATACTGGGGTGCTGGTTGATAATAGTGAGGTGCTGGTGGATAATACTGGGGTGCTGGTTGATAATAGTGAGGTGCTGAGGGATAATACTGAGGTGCTGGTGGATAATAGTGAGGTGCTGGTGGATAATACTGAGGTGCTGGTGGATAATAGTGAGGTGCTGGTGGATAATAGTGAGGTGCTGGGGGATAATAGTGAGGTGCTGGTGGATAATACTGAGGTGTTGGTGGATAATACTGAGGTGCTGGTGGATAATAGTGAGGTGCTGGTGGATAATAGTGAGGTGCTGGGGGATAATACTGAGGTGCTGGTGGATAATAGTGAGGTGCTGGGGAATAATACTGAGGTGCTGGTGGATAATAGTGAGGTGCTGGTGGATAATACTGAGGTGCTGGTGGATAATAGTGAGGTGCTGGGGGATAATAGTGAGGTGCTGGTGGATAATAGTGAGGTGCTGGGGGATAATACTGAGGTGCTGGTGGATAATAGTGAGGTGCTGGGGGATAATAGTGAGGTGCTGGTGGATAATAGTGAGGTGCTGGGGGATAATACTGAGGTGCTGGTGGATAATAGTGAGGTGCTTGTGGATAATAGTGAGGTGTTGGTGGATAATAGTGAGGTGCTGGGGGATAATAGTGAGGTGCTTGTGGATAATAGTGAGGTGCTGGGGGATAATACTGAGGTGCTGGTGGATAATAGTGAGGTGCTTGTGGATAATACTGAGGTGTTGGTGGATAACAGTGTGGTGTTGGTGAATAATAGTGAGGTGCTGTTGGATAATACTGAGGTGTTGGTGGATAATAGTGAGGTGCTGGTGGATAATAGTGAGGTGCTGGTGGATAATTGTGAGGTGCTGGTGGATAATAGTGAGGTGCTGGTGGATAATAGTGAGGTATTGGTGGATAATAGTGAGGTGCTGGTGGATAATAATGAGGTGTTGGTGGATAATAGTGATGTGCTGGTGGATAATAGTGAGATGCTGGTGGATAATAGTGAGGTGCTGGGGATAATAGTGAGGTGCTGGTGGATAATAGTGAGGTGCTGGTGGATAATAGTGAGGTGTTGGTGGATAATAGTGAGGTGCTGGTGGATAATAGTGAGGTGCTGGTGGATAATAGTGAGGTGCTGGTGGATAATAGTGAGGTGCTGGGGGATAATAGTGAGGTGCTGGTGGATAATAGTGAGGTGTTGGTGGATAATAGTGAGGTGCTGGGGGATAATAGTGAGGTGCTGGTGGATAACAGAGTGAGGTGGTGGTGGAAAATAGAGCGAGGTGGGGTGGATAAAGAGCGAGGTGGGGGTAGATAATTGAGCGAGGTGGGGGTGGATAATAAAGCGAGATGGTGGATAATAGAGCGTGGGGGTTGTGGATAATAGAGCGAGATGGTGGATAATAGAGCGTGGGGGTTGTGGATAATAGAGCGAGATGGTGGTGGATAATAGAGGGAGGTCGTGGATAATAGAGCGAGGGGGTGGTGGATAATAGAGCGAGGGGGTGGTGGATAATAGAGCGAGGGGGTGGTGGATAATAGAGCGAGGTGGGGGTAGTATAATAAAGCGAGATGGTGGTAGATAATAGAGCGAGGTGGTGGTGGTCAATAGAGCGAGGTGGTGGTAGATAATAGAGCGAGGTGGTGGATAATAGAGCGAGGTGGTGGTGGATAATAGAGCGAGGTGGTGGTTGATAATAGAGCGAGGTTGTGGTAGATAATAGAGAGAGGTGGTGGTGGATAATAGAGCTAGGTGGTGGTGGATAATAGAGCTAGGTGGTGGATAATCTTCTCACATATTCCGAGATATTTTCCGGGCCATAATTTGCATAAAAGCCTAACAGTCAACCATAGGTGTGTTTGTATGTGTTTTCCTTATGTATATATACATATGTATATACATTCATAATTTGTTTAGTTGTGGCCGTGTTTAGCGTTTTTCTAGTTGTGGTCGGTGGTTCGATCCCCGGTGCGGGTGAAAACATTGTGGGGCGTGTTTCCTTAAGACACCTGCTGTCCATGTTCACCTAGCAGTTAGTTGACTGGTGTAGGTCGCATCTTGGGTATAAAATTAACCTAAGTTGCCCTAAATGCTCTGCATAACCAGGGGCTTTTCTATGTAGTAATTGATGTATTCACCTAGTTGTACTCACCTAGTTGTACTCACCTAGTTGTACTCACCTAGTTGTACTCACCTAGTTGAGGTTGCAGGGGTCGAGTCCAAGCTCCTGGCCCCGCCTCTTCACTGGTCGCTACTAGGTCACTCTCCCTGGTCTGTTTAAGTTGTATCATGTACTTGCAGAGATAAATATTATTATTATTATTGTTATTATTAAATTGTGATTTGTTTACTTGCAGCGCTGTCTGAGATGCGGGAACTTCTGGACACTATGAACGAGCCTGAAGACGTCAACAGTATCGAGTGGAAGTTGAAGACCTTCTACTCCTCCTGTATGAACGTTCGCTCCTTCATGAAGACCGGCTTGGACATCATCAAGCGCATGATCATCACCAAACTCAGTGAGTACTTGCTTGCTTCATGGGGGAGAGGCTGGGAGGTGTGCTTACACGGTGGTGGATGGTTGCTGTGGGGGACTCTAAGTCTTTGGGAGGTGCTGTGGGAGAGCTGTAGTGGTTGATAGGTGCTGTGGGAGAGCTGTAGTGGTTGGCAGATGCTGTGTGATAGCTGAAGTGGTTGGCAGGTGCTGTGGGAGAGCTGTAGTTGTGGGCAGGTGCTGTGGGAAAGCTGTAGTGGTTAGGTTAGCAGGTGCTGTGTGAGAGCTGAAGCGGTTGGCAGGTGCTGTGGGAGAGCTGTATTGGTTGGCAGGTGCTGTGGGAGAGCTGTAGTGATTGGTAGGTGCTGTGGGAGAGCTGTAGTGGTTGGCAGGTGCTGTGGGAGAGCTGTAGTAATTGGCAGGTGCTGTGGGAGAGCTGTAGTGATTGGTAGGTGCTGAGGGAGAGCTGTAGTGATTGGCAGGTGCTGTGGGAGATCTGTAGTGATTGGTAGGTGCTGAGGGAGAGCTGTAGTGATTGGCAGGTGCTGTGGGAGAGCTGTAGTGATTGGCAGGTGCTGTGGGAGAGCTGTAGTGATTGATAGGTGCTGCGGGAGAGCTGTAGTGATTGGCAGGTGCTGTGGGAGAGTTGTAGTGATTGACAGGTGCTGTGGGAGGGCCAGGATGGTAGGTACTGTATGCAGCGTGTAGACGTGCTAAGATGGTGTCTAGTGATGTGGGCGTTCTAGGAAGTTATCTAAGTGCTCTGGGGGTTCTAGGAACGTATCTAGGTACTGTGGGCGTTCTAGGAAGGTATCTAGGTGATACGGACGTTCTAGGAAGGTGAGTGATATGGGCGTTCTAGGAAATATCTAGGTGATATGGAAAGTATCTAGGTGCTGTGAGCGTTCTTAGGAGCTATCTAGGTGCTGTGGGTGAGTTAGTAGGTTAGTCGAGTATTCTCTAGAATTAAAGAGTATATGAAATGTGGGTGAGAAGTCACTGGATGGACCCAAAGTTGTGATCTTGGAGACCCCAGGTATACAGGGTTCAGGAGCAGAGATAACAATGCACGTTATACCTGGGCTGTGTCTTCACTTTCTTTTAGATTAGCATTGTAGAAGTGGGAGCTGGAGGGAGGGACGGAGGGAGGGAAGGAAAGATGGAAGGGGGAGAGGGATGGAGTTCCAAGGACTCTGATGGATTACTTTGAGGATGGTAATCCTTCACACATGTTTTGCCATCAAAGTGATGCGCCAACTGTCATCCATTTTGCCCCGCGCACGCTGAAGACGCGCCCCATTATGCGCAAAATTCCACTCGGGTGATTTACCATGGGCGGCGCGAGGCAGCAAGGAGAGGAAGCAGGTATAAGAAACAATGGAAGGTGCCGCTAGGGTTGGCTCTCACGGTGGCACCAGTGCCAGCACCGACCCTCTGGCCTAGGTAATCCCCGACACACTCTTGTCCCGCCTGTCGTAATGTTCAAACTCATTTGTAGGGTAACCTGGAGCATTTTCTTGTCCCTTCACTTCCATCCCCTCTCTACTCTCCCTGTCTTCTTTCTTACCCCATCTCCTCCCTTACCCCATCTCCTCCCTTACCCCATCTCCTCCCTTACCCCATCTCCTCCCTTACCCCATCCTCTCCCTGACCCCATCCTCTCCCTGACCCCATCCTCTCCCTGACCCCATCCTCTCCTTGTGGTGAGGTGCTGCTTGTAGTATTTACATACCGCTCAGCCTCCCGCATCTCCATCAACAATTAACAAAAATGGGTAATGCACACACTGTCCTCAGGGAGAAGCCTTGATGTTGACCATGAGCTCTTGGTCCAAGGAATGACAGCTTCCCTCTTCCCCCTTTCCACAGATAAAAACCAGTGTGACTAAATGGTCCAAGTCGGACCGAAACGCCGTCGTAAGCTCCTCTCTCCTATGTGCGGCTTATTTGTGGATAAAACTTGATCACCTATCATTCTGCATAAGTTTAACCATGAGTATAATGATCATCATTGTTAGTCCTGTTGGATGGTAACACCTGACCACAAATATGGTGAAAAGTTACTGTGTAGAGAGAGAGAGAGAGAGAGAGAGAGAGGCTCTATTTACACACGTCTCGCTCTAAGTAGAGCTTTATCAAGTTGATACAAGGAGATGGTTGTCTGGTTAATGAGGTTTAGGGCGTAGAGACTACGCGAGGGTCATTAAGGCTGCATATCACCTGCTTACCACCAGACAAGAATACTACAACTCCCTTAAATAGGGATTAGAGTAAACTTAGCGTATACGTATATACTACAGTGAGAGACATACATCTGTGAGTGTGTATATCCTGTGGCGCTCCACTTAACGTGAAGAGAAGTTAGGTGTCGTGTGTGTGTGTGTGTGTGTGTGTGTGTGTGTGTGTGTGTGTGTGTGTGTGTGTGTGTGTGTGAACACCGGCATCATTTGGACTTGCTCATGAGGTTGACCTTGTTATATTACCTTTGCAAATAGATTGGCGATACTGAAGGATCTCTGATTTTGTTCTGTGGTGTCTGAGAAACATAGCCTTGTTACTGGGTAACATGAAAGCAACATTTCGTCTACCTACCTACCTACCTGGTGGATTGAGCGCGCTCTAAACTTATTGTTAATGAAGAAAACATGGAGACAGTGCTTGGAGGCAGCATGTATAAAAAAGCTTGCGACACCATAGAGCAGAATCAAGGACCATTCAGTATTGTCACTTCTGTTTCTCTACTTAATGGACTGTTGCGCTGCTTTATGTTATCGTTTGATAAAACTGCTTAGATCGTTACGTAGTCAGTAATTATTTTTTTTTCACTCTGCCTCCTGGCAAGTTTAGAAACGGAACAATTTGGAATGTATAATTTACGGTATCTTTAAAGATGAGACGGAATTCTATACAAGGTGAACGAGGCGAATATTGTGTCATTGTAATGACTGTCAAAAAAAATGTAGGAATTGTCTTTGTTTAAGCTATTGTGTTATGTATTCCTCCTCTATCCTGTCTTCATGACTCTGTCTGTCTTTGTCCCTGTCTCTGTCTCTCTCTCTCTCTCTGTCTCTCTCTCTCTCTCTGTCTCTCTCTGTCTCTCTCTGTCTCTCTCTGTCTCTCTCTGTCTCTCTCTGCTCTGTCTCTCTCTCTCTCTCTCTCTCTCTGTCTCTCTCTCTCTCTCTCTCTCTCTCTCTCTCTCTCTCTCTCTCTCTCTCTCTCTCGTCTCTCTCTGTCTCTCTCTCTCTCTCTGTCTCTCTGTCCTCTCTGTCCTCTGTCTCTCTCCTCTCTCTCTCTCTCTTCTCTGTCTCTCTCTCTCTCTCTCTCTCTCTCTCTCTCTCTCTCTCTCTCTCTCTCTCTGTCTCTCTCTCTCTCTCTCTCTCTCTCTCTCGTCTCTGTCTCTCTCTCTCTCTCTCTCTCTCTCTCTGTCTCTCTCTCTCTCTCTCTCTCTCTCTCTCTCTCTCTCTCTCCCCTCTCTCTCTCTCTCTCCTCCCCACTCGCACCCATGACGCAGCTCCACATAATGTTGTTTACAACATGGCAGGAAGTGTCTTCAGGTTGCACGCTAAACTCCCTCGTGACCACACCTGACACTTTTCACATCCCCAATTTGTCGACCTGGCGACCAGCTGTCCCACATCCAGAGAGACCTTCCTATACTATCCTCTATCCCTCACCTGCCTGGAGACCAGACCATCCTATGTTATCCACCACCTCTCACCTACCTGGACACCAGACCAACACCGGCACGAGTACCATGTCAACACTGAGGCCAATATCACTAATATAAGTAGTATTTAAGATAATGGGGAACAGTCAGGAGTACTGGCGCAATTGGAGAGAAGTAATTTTTATAAGCATTAACCATCACAGGTTTAGAGACGGCAACTCTTCTCTCATAAATTTGTTGGAGTTTTGTGACCAAGTAAGAGCAGCGAAGCAGGAGGTAGATGACTGGATGAATTGCATATTCTTGAATCGCAAGAAGGCATTTATTGCTGCAACTGGCAAGAGAGTTGGACAAAAACTGGAGGAGCAGGCAGGAATAACAGGGAATGTGCTATAGTGGATCAAAGAGCACCTTATGGGAAGAAAACAGTGCTTGTCTGAGATGTCAGAACGGGAAAGTGTAAAAGTGGGATTCTGCAGGATTAGTATTAAGGCCGATACTGTTTCTGGTAAATGTGAACGACATGCTGAAAGAGTAAGTGTTTTTATTCCTGCTTGCACATGATGTATAATGAGGATATTACAAACCAGTAAGAGCAAGGAAATACTACAAATGGGCCTGGACCAACTAAAAGATTGGTCAGCCATATGACTACTTGAATTTAATCCAGCAGATGCAAGGTTATGAAATTTATGGAAGGGGCAAGAAGATCGAGAACTAAGTATAACCTTAGGGGACAGAGGCTGGAAACCTTAGAGAAAGACCTTGGGTTATATTACAAACGTATCACTAGAGGCACACATCAACCGAATAACCTCTGCAGCAAATGTTTGGGAAATCTAAGAGTAGCTTTAAGGAATCTCAAAAGCATTCACCACCCTATATATGTTAATCCTGTTTTGAAATATGCAAAAAACACATGAATTCTCCCCTGATAAAGCCTTAAAACCCCGAAGACAGGCAGATGAGGAATTCGCCCCAGACTTGAAAATAACTCCCGGGTAAAAAAATACGCCCCCCGGGGCCTATCGACCACCACGTATTTTTTTAGGGCCCCTACTTGCAATGTAGAAAATCTATAGGCATCCAATTTAAAAAAAAATTTTAATTTTTTTTAGGCGCGTCTATTCAGGGGTGCATTAGGCTCTAGCAGCAGAAACCTGAAATGTTGCTTGACACAATTAACCTACAAGATCCACCCGGGGAGTAGTGCATGTAGCCCACCTTAGCCACACCCACCCCTACACTTGCCCCCTGGGACCCACGGAAAATTCATTAATCTTTTTTTTTTGTCACATCTTGGTATGTTTGTTTATTTTGGGGCCCAGGAGGGGGGTATAATCCTTCACTTCCCATTTT